CATCATCCGAATCATCATCATCATCATCTTTGTCAACATACGAGTAATCATCTTCATCATCGTAGTCATCCGAATCATCATCATCTTCACCATCTTCATCATCGTCATCCTAATCACCATCGGAATCAACATCATCATCATCATCATCCGAATTATTAACATCATGGAATCGTCGTCAACATCTTCATCATCATCAACAAAGTCATCATCTTCATCATCATCAGCATCCGAATCATCATGATCATCATCATCCGAATCATCATCGTCATCCGAATCATCATCAACATCATCATCANGTTTTGAGGTGGAGTCCCAATCAACTACTAATGATGATTAGTAGTTAATCAGTGCTTGACTTTTCCTAAATCACTTTCGTAGAAGATTTGTTCTCAGATTCCACAACGCGTTCCATGTTCGAACAGAGAACTGCTCAAGACACACCCACACACCCAAGCAACATCAGTTCGGTTTGAAGGTCACGTATTCTATTTGTATTAGGGATTCCTGCTTAAGCGAAAATAACTAACTAACTAACTAATTAGTGTGTGGAATAAACAAGTGGTTCTGCCTTTTTATCGCATACAACTCTCCGTCTGATGACTGGCAAAAATACTGTACGATTCGGATATCTACCGAAGGCAATGATATGGATAGTTTAAAACTTGTCCGAATGTGAGAAAATCATCATCATCATCATCATCATCATCATCATCATCATCATCATCATCAACAACAACTTTTTGTTTTTCCAACCGTTGGTGTTCTACTAATTTCGGGATGTGTGTTCTTAATCTTAGTAGTTTGCGCAAACAGTTTTAGTTTTCCCTGTGCTTAACGGCGGTTGGTTCACAAGTCTATTTTGTTTGTCGTATACGACACACGGAACTCCGCCGTCTGCTTCAAATTCATATAGTAAAACATTTGGCTCCATTATAAATCAGTAAGTAATCTTGTCTTTACAGGGTATAAAGCACGGTTTACACCCAGTCAATCTGTGTACATCACTATCAATCGGGATGAACGAATTGTTCATAATTTTAAAAGTCAGTTTACAATTTGTGGCTTATCATCATCAGCCTGTGTTGTCAACTGTGTGTGTACACACACACATACTGTTTATAACATTCTGGTCCCATAAGAAGTGACCGCAACATTATCACTGCTGTCACTTTGCTGCCATAACCTACAGCCTTCCCAACCAGCCAGTTACAGAGTCTTTTGGATTCTAACCCCCAGGACGAGAGACACCTTCTCTATCTAACCACTGTGTGTACTGCTTCTTGCTTTGACTCCGCCGTATCTGCTGGAATCCACTTGGCTTTCTCATGCCTGGAGTGGCGACTGCAAACAAGACCTGGTGCGGTAGGCAACAATTATGTAGACGTACGCAAAACATGCCCTAACCAACGGAGCCTGGTTAAGCTGAATTTGATTCACTAGCAAGCTCGTGTTCGATGTATTCCTACACAGTCAGGGACTCACATCTAGGTTGTCAACTCGCTGACTAAAGTAAGCGACTACGTAAGCATCGATTGTCAAAAACCACCAAGTGATGGGTATATTCTGCTAGCAAATTTAATGTCTCGCAACCGTAAGGCAGAACTGATGGTACATTAGGGCAGTATATGCCACTTTTCAACTTCAGTGAAACATCACGTCGTCGCCACGGGTGTATTGATCCTGCGTACGATACTCGAGTTTTGGTAAAGTGTGCAACTATCTCCGTTGATGTGCTACCGTTGCTAGTCATGCGGCTGCCGAAGTAAGAGAATGTGATGATTGTAGTACGCATTGATCACGAAATACGAATCACGTATCAGAGCAAAGAGAAAAGGTGTGACGGGGACTCTTGGACAGTGCTTGATGAGATTAGCATTGCGGTTATGATTATAATTGTCAAAAATTTCAGCTGATAACCCCTTTGGCTCTCAACCAGTCTCCCTTGAACAAAATGGGTTGACGGTGAGCGCAAGAGATCAAGAATAAGATGCTTTCGAAAGTTTTAATTCTGTAATTTAGTTGTGATTCCGAAAGGTTGAATAGTTTCCCCTATTTATCGTAGAACGCTGAAATTAAGAAGGAATATATCGGGTGATTTTTTCGTACGGGTACACTTATGACTGATACAAAACGACGAAACATAAAGGTTACGCCGAACAAGGGAAATCGATAGGATTTCAAAGTTTAATTTAGGTTACTTCGTTGGACCCTTCTTATCAAATATGGTATTCCCTACGATACCATGACCTTACAATGCTTTATGAAACTGGAAGATTTTCAATCCAATTTGTTGTGTTGCTGTTTAAGCAGTGAATTATGCAGTACGTTTATTGTAGAAGGTGCACATCCAGCCGGCCCATAGACAAGTGAGCGAGCAGAAGCGGACAACACGTAAGAAGACCGGCAGGCAGGCCAACAAACGGCTCACGCGTCACATGACATCTCAGTGCGGTCAAGCTGGTATTCAAATAGTCAAACAATCAATCAGCGTGGGAACAGTTCAATACTAATATCTGAGTTGCTGGAGCCGATCGATAATGTAGTATGGCTTGAGTGTATGCGTGTGGGCTAGCTGACAGCATCTGTCAATCAATCAATCGATCAATCAATCAATCAATCTGGCCGCGGGAGAGTGCGACAAATGTACCTGTTATTTGTAAACTTCAACAATATCAGTTAAGTCTCTGGAAATAAAGATACTCCAGCAACCAGCTACTGTAAGTTCCTTACACGCAAATGGCCATAAATAATTTTAGAAAATCACAATGTAAATAAATCTACAATATTGCCCCAAACAGTGAACCGCATGAGACCACGAATATATTCGTAAGAACTAAAAGTTATCTACACTATTCTCAAAAGAGTCCTGATTTGATGTCTCACAATACTTTGGATAGGAGGGGCATTTGATTGCACACCGCCTATAAAATTTTAGATCTGGCTCAAAATACCCTCACTGGTATCCGCAATGAGGTATGATGAAGTACTATCATACAAAACTCTGTTTTTCTATTCAAATTTGCTTATTAACAGGCAACCGTTGCTGTATCCGTTCTCAGAAATCTATCCAAAAGTACTCACTTTCTGTATGCCTGATTTCCATATTCTCCTGCGGCTTCAGCAGATGAATCATCAACTTAACACTAGAGTTCCTCATTTGCTGAGTTCATGCAACTGAGAAACAGTGCAAACTAAGACGGAGAACAAGTGAAACACCTAATTTTCATCACGACCTCGCAGATGGATCTGGGGAAAACTGTAGCGTATTTCTTGGACATTTGAGTGTTTGAGTGTTTCCATGCTTGTCTGTGCCAAAATCGGATCATGGAAATCAGTAATTCATTCATCTTTCACAGCGTTCATGCCAACTGTGAGAACATCCTGGGAAATTGTTTCTTCAGTAGAAATTCTACGCGTTATTTTTAGCTTATCCAATTTCATCTGCCCCTAAAATTGCACTTCGTTTCTTAGTCATACACGGATTTTTTCACGGAACGGGACTCGAACTCAGCTGAATGCGATCAGACCACGCGGTTGCGACCGAATCTCCAATGTTTACGACTTCAGATACCGCGGTTATGTGCAAGTCAGTTTATCACTGACTGTCCTCTCGACGGTCACGATTTCGTCAATCTGATCGTTTCTTTCGAGGACAAGAATGCAACACCGGAGGTAGGTGACGCCTAAATCCACCCGTAAATCTTTGATTCGAAGTGTAACCCCAGTTCTGATTCGAAAGAAGCTATGTTTGACGGTGATTTTATCACCTTTTTTGATGATAACCGCACTGTGATGTTGTTCGTACCAGAAAACAAAAACATGAATATTTTACATTTAGTAGTATATGAATTACTGGGCAAAATTTCTCGGGTAACATACATTCGGTTCTTGCCTCTCGTCGGGCTTGCATATACCGTAACATTTTGTCTCTTTATTCATATACTTGTACCCAGAAAGTGTATTTACATCACACTGAGCTCATTTGCGACACCGGGTAGTTTTTAATGGATGACTCTTTCAGAGCCAATTCATTGATGAATGAATAATATGATTCGATGTTTTTGGTGGGTTAGTTGCTACTAATCGCAACAAATGCGACGTAAACGTATTTATGGAATATTTTACAAAAACATTTAGTGACGAATATAAATTTCCTGAGAACAAGTTTTGAATGAAAAGACAAAAATCTATCTGATACGCAGGCAAGCCTGACGAGCGGAAAGAACCGCGAAACCGGTGGTGTAATTCCAGGGCAGTGTTTTTAGCCATTCAAGTACGATTTATACTACTAATAATGAATTTTTACTTCCTTTTTTCTCTTTATTGAATATACAAATGTACAGTCAATATTCAGGAAGAGAGGCCGTAGCCATACACAGGTTGCCTGGGAAGACGAGCGGCGGTGGAGTGGTTCGAACCCAGGACTCCCAGGTCACAAGTTGGTGACCTAACCACTTGGCCATCACCGCCCAAATATTCCAAACATTTCACTTACTTACCGGATTCTTTCGCCGGCACAGAGTGATTCATTAAAACGGCAGTTGTAGTTGTGAAGTGATGAGTGTTCGCAACTACAATACGCCATGGCATAACTGGTTGATCGAGTGCCTGTGCATGGGCATCAAAGACTAGCTAGTATAGACATGGATTTGCGAACCATCGGTAAAAATAAATTCACGAAACCAAATCAACACTAATTTTTGGGTCTTCCACGACCTTAGTAGTTAATGTGGATGACGGATATTTGCCTGTTATCCGTATCTTTCTTGGTGGCGTATCATATTTTGCACTACATTCTCCGGTGATCAAGCGATGACTCGTTGCCCTGGATACCCTAGGATTAAGCAGAGTTGAATGCTACCAGGCGCGTCCCCAGGTTACGGGGGTACCATCACAGAAGGAGGTTAACTGTGATTAAGTTGTGGCATACCGCTGGTGATCCATGCCTACGTGATGACGCCTACCCTGGAGCGGCGCGTTACAGTTTCTGGACACCTGCGATCAATCGAGTTTGAAAGGTGACATCAATGGGGCGTGTGCGCGTCACGGCTTCTGACTAGAGCCATTGGTGGATCGTACCAGAGAATCCGAGACAATGCAAACAGAAGCAGAACTATCCACGCAATACTGCAATACGATTGGTAGAAGCCTAGATAACCAATGATCTTCTTTTGTAAATATTATTTAATCGCTTTGATTTCTTCCAATAAACGAACTACGAGTTGCCAGTCTTGTGGCTTTTTCCTCGCTTCTCGTTCACGTGGGGTATGGCGAGCTCGTGCCATTGCGGTCCAGTGCTTCCGTAATCCAGTCCGTGATGGCTGATCCTTGATTCGTGTCCTGTGATTCCTATTGCGTGGTTCGTGTTACGAATTCCGTGCGTTTTACTACTATTACCACTACTACTGCTACTACTACTACCACTACTACAATCATTACAATACCGCAACAAATATACAGTCGCGAACGAACAGCGGCGGCGCTACCAAGGTGTAGTGGATTTCAGTTTGTTTACCTGGTTCCTGGTTAAAAACTGCATAAGCCTGATGACGGTATCGTGACAAAGGTCGATGTGACTGACCTATTAACACGAAAGTGACTGCCTCCCTCACTTCCCGAGGTAAGGGATTACTTGCTGCTGCCTTGCAGGTCGCAATTGGATTTACAAAAGCTAGAGGTGCGCCCTCAGAATTAAAAGAACGCCGAGGGAGGCCGGGGAAGGCTCTCGTACCATACTCTCAAGTAACTTCATGATCATGATCTTGATCATGTCTGAAGCCGGCTTATCCTTTCTAATTAGCCAGCTGCAGTAAATTAAATACAATGAACAGTGGTGGTGGTCATGTGATTAGGGTCATCAAAATGATAACCCGAAAGTCCCCGGTTCGAACCACCCCGCAGCTGTCCGTCTTCCCCTTTTTCTGTATTTTCCCAGACAACCTTGGTGCGGCCACAGCTTCCTTACTGAAAGTTAATCAGATATCTATTATTACAATAAATAAAAAGAAGTAAAATTTTAGTATACATTACAGCTATTTGAATCACCACTCTTTTATTTCCGGAAAATTACTCATATTACTGTATTCTCAATGTAAACGAATGGAGTGTAATGTGGTTTGCGGTAATCGACTATACTTGCCTATCGTACACCCCGATTGGAATACTAAATTTCGTTTCTATTTCCTAACTTCCAGTAAAACGGACCTACGTCAATCATACGTACCATAAAAATCGGGACAAAAAGCGTTAAATGATTTTCACATAACACGAATAACAAATTGTAAATAGGCACATTTTCAACAATTTTACCGAACTTATCAGACTATGAGCATATTCACAGGCGTTTTCGGAACTGAGCTTATCAGACTTAGCGAATAGTATTTGCATTTATTTATCATACATAACTCCCCAAGTTGTTATAATCCAGATGCTTTGAGAACCTAAGCTTCTTTCCTGGCGAAATATGTCTGTGTCTAAGTTGATCTTAATGAGAAGGTTTGACATAATGAGTAGAGCTCAAAGAATATCAGGTGAAGTGCATAATCTTGAAAAATAATTATATGACTCAAAGCATCCTCTATCCTGGGTACTGCATAGACATGTTGACTTTCACGGATGCCAATTGATTTGAGACTGACTATTCCACCGGTAAATCATCTTAAATTACAAACCAGCACGTCAAGGTCTTTTCTTGTTTTTTTCCTTTTAATTTTACTTCATTTTATTGAAAACATGATACAATTTTCAGGAAGCGGTCAATCCAACGGCTGCCGTGGGGTAAGTCAAGTGGTGATGGTGGGGTTCGAACACACGTCCCCCGAGGTGGTAATTTGGTGACATTACCTCCAGGCCACCACCACCGTCAACGGGTGTTTCTAAATTTGGACCACAGGTCCACACAGAAAATGTTTTCTCAAAACAAGCCTGACATTGTAGAGTCAAGAATGGTCACGATAGGTGTGTTCCTCCACAAAACAGTTTGAATGCCAAAAAGAAACTGGACGATCACGCATTCTTTTCAGCCGTTATTCATCTGAATTTTTTTATTGCTCACTATGTTTTGGCCTATCATCAAAGGACTGATTACTACCAAATCTATTTTAATTGGCGCCGATACTCAGAGCGTTCGACATGATATCGTTTGTCACCAGTTAGCCAAGCAATGCATTCAAGCAGGGTAGTCACGCTACGCTTCACTAACTGACTCCGCGGGTACTCCCACCCAGTTCCTGTCACCTTAAACAAAGTGATTCACATCTATCAAAAAGAAACTACTTCATAAAGGATAATTTGGGTGCCGAATCACGGACAAGAATTAGGAATTACGATGGTTTTTATAAATCGTCATTTTGCTTTATAAGCACGAGGGTTAGACAAACCTTTTTCGAATGTACAAAACGCTTCATTGGTAACGCAAAACTAAGCGTTACGTTCTCTCCAAGTATTCTCTATCAGCGTTTATGCACACCGTTCCATGCGCTCAAATCATTTGGTGAAACAGATCGAAGATACCGAAGCGGATCGGTAATCCCTCGACCAGTTCCACGAAGGCGTCCACTGCAGATGATGATGATGACTCGTATCGGATTCCACGCATCATGCGCTTGATATTTGGGAACATAAACAAGTCAAACGGAGTGTCATCATCAAAGGTAGCTAGCAAACGATCAACACCCTGCTGTTTCTGCTTTCAATCACGCTTGTAGTCGTATGAAATCGTCATAACGCAGTGTCATGGACTAAGTTCCATCCCTACAGTTCGAATATAGCGACCCCCGTATGACTTAGTTTGATGGAAGGTGGTACAAAGAGAGCCCCAGCTAGCGAGCGGATCAAGGATAGGGACCACCCAACCAGATGCGCAGACATAGCGGCTGGAAGTGTTTCGCGAGATAATGTCGACTACCACTCGAAACGAACGAATCGACAATTACAGCCCAACGGACAATGCGTTGGGTGCATTGCTTTCCGGACGAGCGAGGACCGTTTATGTTTTGAATTTGGAAAGCAACCAAGCCCTGGATTATGAGCATTTGAAAGTTGTATTGGTGGTAGAGTTTTCAAATGAGGGTGACCGCATGAAAGCAATGAACCGGTTTTATGCTGCGGAGTACAACCGGACTGAACACCCGCTGATGCACTACCAATAAGTAAAGCACCAGATTTCTCTGGGCCTGCTAGAGGTCACCACCACCACCTTCCATCACACTTTGAGCTGTGCTCGACTGAGTTGATATTTAGTTCTGTGCGAGTTGCAATCATTGAACAGTGGATTCACAATACGAGTTTTACAGTTCACATTTTCCTTGCCCCCGGTCATCTGCACCTCGTACTCGTCATGTACACTGCGTACGCCAGAACAGTTATGCTCAGCCCTCGTGCAGTCGTTACCTCTGCATTGCAACAACTTTAATCTGAAGAAGACGTTCACAATTTCGCCATAATAAAGTTCCACTTTTAAACAGAATACTTGGGTTTTCACATCAGGTAATTCAGCCATTTTGAGCAGAATACCTCAACATCTTCGACTTCTCGATAGTAACAAAAGATAAACGGAAAACTGAAAAAAGTAACTGGACAACCTGGAAAATAAGAAATACGTTTAAATCATCGAAGCACAGAGACAGAAAGATTGATGCGAGTATTTGGGTTATCTCCGTATGCCTATCCGCTTGGACATTTTCCATAGTACTTCATAGTGTTAGGAAGATTTGACCGTTCTGTTCCAGAACTAGGGGTTTTCTTTGAAAGTGAAACGGTTCTACTGGTGCGATATAATCTGGTATTATTCTTGCGTCCCAGCCGGTAAACAAAAAACAATGGTGACTGTTGTTCTAACTCAGCAAAATAATTTGCCACATCGTAATTGCAACTGGNTCCGAAATTCCAAACCTGACATGATGCACGAACGTCCGATATTGTTGAAAGTGTTGTGGCGACCGTTCCGTATTTGACACGAGTGAATGTTCAGTCTCGGTCAGCACAAGCTATGCCACAGAGTACAAACGTTGACAACCAGTCCATGACAGACAAGCAGAATGGATAGGTAGTCCGTTTTTATTTTTCAATCCATCGATCCACAGCCAACATATGGTCTTCTCACGTTCGGAATTCCCCCCCCCNCCAGCTTGAATAACAGCCAGAGTAAGAAAACTCATTACATACAGTATTCGCCTGACATCCCACCGGATTCATTCTGCCCACCGGATCCTGCCTACAGTTGCCTATTGCGTCACGTATCACATCCATCCATCTGACGGCTAACCACAACTGTGTATAATATGAGTCTTATCAAAATGTTTCACAAACACCAATAATTCAACTAAATCGAAAACCCGCTTAAATTAATCATAATAAAACATTCCTTTTCTATTTTAGCGGATATTGTTTCCAGGTAGTTAGTAGGCTGAGCTATGGAATACTGTGATCATTAATTTATTGAAAAAGGCTCCAGTTGAGCGCAAAGTTTTTATTATGTGCTTAATAATGTGGTTCGGATTAAGTAATAACAAGACGTTTTTAACCAACAAATACAACAACAATTATGTTTACAACAGCGGGTCTGAATGCTTCATGTGATTTCGTTTTACAATAAATCATACTTTTACCGATTGAAAATCCGTCAGGATAAACCATGGCAGTAAGGAAAACACATGGTAGACAATGGTATAGAACTGAGTTGATTACCATATGCGAATTGATGCGCTCAGTGTACCCCGTCCAACAAGTAACAATTTGATTTCAGAGAGTTTATATAGGCTACTCATGAGTAGTTAGTTCTTAATATAGCAAATGCCAATGCAATTTGCTGTCTTGGTCACCTCGGTAATGTGTTGACGTGTTTCTGACACCAAAGGATGACAACAGTTAACAATTTGTGTTGTTTTTTGGTTTTTTTGTGACTAGAAATTGACTTGAACAGTTAAACTGCTAAATTATAAGCTCTGGGAAATTCTGGATGGCTCAGTAGACCGGTTAATGATGTTTGATACAAATTGTACCATTTGGGTTGCCTGATGATTTCGAGTAAAACTATATACTTTTATATTCATGTTCTTTTATATATATAATTGCATAATATTTATATAATTGCATCTGACATATACAGATTGATTGCCAACAGGTTCTCTTTTGCAACTCAGATTGAAAAAGATACTTTCTTTTTCAATAATCGTTTTCATTCATTGCCTATTTTGTTCAGATATGGCAAGAAACCCTCATCAATATAGCTTTTCGGCATCGTCACGTGATCGAAAATCTAGCTACGTTGGACGTGTTTGGACGTGTTAAAGAAGCAGTGAGTTTCAAACACTTTTTACAAGGAATAATTGTGTAAGTCGTTATTAGTGGGTTTCTATTGATAGACTTCATCATGAACTTTATAACGTTAATAAATCTTAGGTAAATTTTAAAATAAATAGAAAAAATCTAGAGTCCTTTATTGGTTCTGAATCTAACAAATATTGGTGTGGACGTCTGTTCATAAAACCAAATGTATGTGCACACTTATCGTATCTGTGATTCTGGTGGTATCTGGTATCTGTGATGGTG